AATAGATTCACTACATGTTGAGACATGGAGGAATTAGTGTGCAGGAAATAGAAACCACCCAATAAATAAGCAATGCTTCAGCTCTATAAGCTTTGTATCAAGCTCATCCTTTCCTTAAAAGATGGATGTCTAAGAGCAGGGGACTAAGTAAGAGAATGCAAACTCCTTTTATCTTAGTCTTCATACTGCTAAAAGGAACTTTCAACTCTGGGGTAGGCCACAGGCCCCAGTCAGAAGTCCAGTGCCTGCAGAGGCCCTGGCCTACAGAAAATTCTAACTCTTATCTTCATCCTCACTTTTTAAAATGCCTTTTTTCATTCACCTCATGTCCCCTTTTCTCTCCTACACAGCTACCTGCTAATCTCCTGGCTGCTGCTCTCAGCCTGTGCAGGTTCCCGTAAGTAAGGGAGATCTAGGTGGTGATCCACCCTTAAGACACCAGGCCTGGTGAGTGGAACCTTCTCTGTGAGCACCTTCCAACAAACTTCCTTTTTAATTGTGATCTCTTCTCTCTAATTGTATGAAGCCACATTTAACAATGAAATGGGTTCCTAAGACACAAGCAGCAGGAAGAAAGGTCTGTTGGTCATAGGAGTATATTGGTCTAGCCTTCTATAGTCTGGGGGTGCCCTGGGTCTGTTTTGTACCTTTGTAAATTTCATTACCAACTGTCTTATTGCTAAGGGGCAGGGTTGTATGAAACTTCACATCTGCCAGACATCACTGATGGATTTTAGTGGTTAAACTCATTGTTCCTCTAAAGAGACATAGCATTTCCTAAGTTCATTTACCTGAACATGGCCTTCTATAGAAAGTAAGTGTCCTCCACCTGTACCCCTATGTTTATTGCAGCACTATTTACAATAGGTAAGCTATGGAAACAACCCAAATGCCCAAAAATAGATGACTGGATCAAGAAGATGTGGTACATATACACAATGGAATATTACTCAGCATCAAAAAGATAAATTCATGTCATTTGCAGCAACATGGATGGAGCTGGAAGGGATCATGCTCAGTGAAATAAGCCAGAAAGAAAAAGAAAAATACCGATGGTCTCACTCATAGCAGGAATTTAGAAAACCTAAATAAGGGGGTCAGGTAAAAGACTAATTATAATAAAGTAAAGTTCAAAATCAACAAACAACTATAAACCAGAGACACACTACAGGGGGGAAGAAGGGAGTAGGATCAAAACAAGGGGGGGTGGGAATTTTACAGGGACGATAACCAGGATGAAAATGCTTACATTGTACAAAAAATGAAAGATGATGTAAAAAAATTTATAAAATAAAAATTAAAAAAAAAGAAAGTAAGAGTCCTCCTATTATTCTCTTCTGGCAGATCAAAAGTCAGTGACACTTTGCAGCTGTTTCTGGAACCTACCAAATCGTTCCTTTTCCCCTGGCATCAGCTCTTGCTGTTGCCAGCTCTGCGTAGGTGGAACTTTGCACCACATCATGGGATTCAGTCCTCACTGCATTTTGGTTTCTATTCAGGTATCACATCAGCAGAAGAACTTCCACCCAATTTAAAGTAGCCTCCGCTCACCCCACTCTGACCTGCCACTCTGTCCCTTTCTCTCCATTTTTTTCATCAGAGATCTAAACACAATCTGACATTACATTCTAATTTATTTGTTTATGGTTCACCCACTCAAGAATGTAAGTTCATGAAGGCAAGAACTCTGTCTTAGTTATCACTCTATTCCCAGGGCCTAAGCAGGCCTAAATGCTACCTGAATGAATGAACAGGAATGGAAAGCAAATATCTCAATTTCTAGCTTCATGTGTGTTCACCTCCCTGTCAACTTTAATTTACTCCTCTATGCTTTCTGCCTTTGGTTTGCTGACAGCTGTTGATAGATGGGGTTGTTCTCACCCTTTCAAATGTCTTGTGGTAAAGCAAAAATGCTTCCTTGAAAGGTATGTGAATTAAAAGCCCAGTCTGATGGAAAGCGTAAGGAGAAAGCATATTGCACTGTTTGAGGACTGTGGGTCGATACAACCTATTGGAGAACAGCTTAGAAATACCTAATAAAATTTTTTATTTTATTTATTTTAAAATTATTTTTAAAGATTTATTTTTATTGATTTATACATACAAGAACTGGGGTGGATCTACTGAACATATGGATCTACTGAAATACACTGCTGAGGGGAGCAGCGGGTGAGAAAGAAGAGGTCTGCTGTGCCATGTGGGTAGCTCCCTGGCTGGGGATCAAACTCATGTTGCAGTGGTTGGTGATAGCTTCATGGTGCTGAGACTTAACCCCTTGCACCACCAGGGAGGCCCCCTAATAAAAATTTTAATGGGCATTTTCTTGACCTACTAATTCTCAAATAGTATAGTCCATTAAAATGTTTGGCAAATATTTATTTATTTATTTTATAGAGGCATTTTTAAAAATTTATTTATTTGTTTGTTTGTTTGTTTGTACATGCACTGGGTACAGTCAGAAGCGCAGGAGGGTGAGAGAATTCACCAGAGCCAGAGCGGGGAGCCGAGCAGGCAGAAGGACAGAAGTACACTGCTGAGGGGAGCAGCGGGCGGCAGGAGAGGTCTGCGGGCCATGTGGGACCCTCTCCGGTGGCCGGGGAGCAGCCGGGAATCAAACCAGCGCTGCAGAGGCTGCAGGCAGCTTCGCAATCCAGCGCTCAACCGTTGCACCACCGAGGAGGCCCATGTTTGGCAAATATTTAAAGGACACTTGCAGCATTAATCGTAATGATGAAAAATTAGAAGTAGCCCATGGAAAAACAAGTCAATATGAAATACAATGAAAACTTAGACAGTCACTGAAGGAATTAGATATGTTAATACTGACATGAAAAAAATCCAAGCTATATTGCCAAGTGAAAAAGGTAAGCTGGAGACCTATTGCAAATATTAAGAACACATTTCTGTACAAAAATCACTGTGTGTGTGTGTTAATGAGTACACACACTGACTATTTGCAGGGAAAGTGTCTGTGACACGGCACTTCTATTTGTTAATAGTGCTTCTGATCTCTAGAGAGAGTACTGAAGGGGACTTCCACTTTCAAAATCATGAATTTCTGTGATGTGTAAATTTTAATATCAAACAAGTATCCCATTCATAAATAACAAAAAAGATAAAGATTTTAAACATCATTTAAATTCTGGAGACAAACCACTTTACTATTTTATAAAGTTACTTACTTTCAGAGCTCTCGTCTCAACAGTCAGATTAAGAAGTTCTGTCACCTTCCTGGGCTTTATTTATTCCTGATCCATAAAATGAATCTAGGAGTTTTTGTGCCATCTACTGCTTGAGGTTATTGGGTGGCTAAATCAAATTCTTGGGACATGTATAGAAAACATTTTGAAATCACTAAGGAAATTCCAAGAAGCCATTATGTGTATTGTTTAACTTCTTGTTAGGATTATATTTCATTTATTCCTAAGAGCACATTCCATAAGGGATTTGTGTATTGACGTTTACAGGTGAGAAAACTTAGGTGGTGAGAAATCAAATTTCTCCCTCACAGAGCAGAACTAGAATCAAATGCTCTGCCATTAAATCCTTGTTGCATCCCATGGGTTACCCAGAGAGAAGGTGGGTGAACGTGAATACCAGAAACTATGAAGTCCCTCCAAGATGAAAGGGACTGGTTTTAGTCAGCAGCAGTAATAAGTACCCTTAGAACTATAAAAGAAAGCAGAACTGCAGTGAAAAATCTGTATTCTGGGCTCATCATCATCAAGTCCAATTAATCATTTTAAGTAAGCTCAAATAAACGCTTTTACGTACCCCAAACTAGAAGCCAGGAGGATCATTTCAAAATAAATATTGAAGAATGAAGAAAAAAAAAAAAGCGAAAATGCAGAAAAAAGCAGGGGCAGTAATTCCGTCAGGCTGAAGAAAGGGATACTTTATCCCTGGGAAGTTTCTACAAGTTTGCTTGTTAATGGCATTCCTTCCTATATTGCCATATACAAATAAGGCATACAAACTGGAGGACAGGACAACATGTTCTACCAGTTCTACATAGCCATGATGCTAAAAAGTTATTACCTTCACCAAGGCTTCAAATAAGAGGACTCATTTCTAAATACAGCGGCCAGTTTCCACTTCCCTCAGCTTCACACAAGCAAATTTTAATTTAAATACATATTATTCTTGCTTTCTTGGAGGTGTCATCGAAAGGTGTTTCATGACAATAAAAAACCATCTTCTTAGATTATTTTGCTTAGATAATTCAACAAACATTTCTTAAGCCCAACTAGGTGCAGCGTATTGTGCAATATAAAAATGAACGAGATGCTTCAAACGGGTTCTCCTGGCATGGGGAATGGAGGTTAGAAACGCTATGCCTAATTTGCACTTCCCTGAAAGTTCCAATTCTATCAGAGAATCTCAAAAACACAATACTGCAGAACCCCAGGCAATTTTTATCTTCAAGAAGCTACAGCCACAGGCTCCTGTGTGCAATACAGACACACCAGTGTTAAAGACATGCTGCTTAGAACCAGCAAACCTTTTCATCTGGCTAATTGTAGAAGTCCCTTCTCCCCTCTCATTTATAGATACTTATGTGTCTCTGTCTTTTTATGACTTTTCCATGTGAAGTATTCTCTATAATATTTTGGGCAAGCTTTCATTTCATGCTTCCTCACCTCAGAAGTGCAATACAGTTGGAAGTACCATTTGGAGGTCACTGGAGAGGTCACAAGAAATCCCCTGGCGTTAAGAGCTTCAGTAATATTGTTTTGTCCTTCAGACAACACCACTAAGTTGTTTTCACTGCCCACAAAGGGATTCTTTGTGTCAGAGCAATTGAGAGCTGATACAAATTCAAACTGGCTAATTTCAACCTAACAAAATAGTTTAATTCCTAACAGCCAGGGGAACAAGAAAATGACAAAAATTTGGGCCTCCTGGTGGTGCAAGGGGTTAAGCACAGCATTGTGAAGCAATCCTCTGCATCATGAGTTCAATCCCCCACAAGAGAGCTGACCCACATGGTGCAGCAGACCTCTCCTGTCTTAACCCTTGGTCCCTTCAGCAGTTTATTTCAGTAGATCTGCCTGTTCTGCTCCCCACTCTGTCTCTGGTGAATTCTCTTACCCCCTCCACCTCTGGCCTGCACCTCACTTCTATGCAAAAATAAATAAACAAAATCTTTTTAAAAAGAGAAAGACCCAACAGAAGAAGCAGGAACTAGGAAGTCCATTACACTAGCACTGATTGGCAAGGTGAGCATGGGCAAATCTCTCAACAGATGTTGATTCTTCCAGGTAATGGGATCCCTCCTCGTCACACTCTACAGAGCTATGATAATGATCCAGTAGTGAGGGAGAGCAAGTGACTGGACTGGGGGACAATCCTCAGAGCAGGGGGAAGGGCGGCTCACTTTTGGTGTTGCCAGCCAATGTTTCTTGGTTTTCCTGCCCTTTATCAGCTGCGGTGTTGATCCCTCTGTCCGTGACTGCCCATGGCTCCAGCAAACACCTATGACTGCCAGGTCCCATTCTACCTATTTGCTTTAACTTCACCCTGAATGCAGCAGCCTCCAGAGGACATTTGTATGGGACAACCAATATTAACATGAATTGATATAATTCTCCCATGGATCAGTAGGGACAATGTCATTCTAGGTTTTAAATTAGTCTGGTGGTGTGACACCTGAAAAACAGATAACATCCACATTCTCCTTTGGTAGAAATCAAGGCCCTGTGAGAGAATATTCCTTATTCTAGATCTCTAAACCTTCCAGGACGCTGGGTGTTGTCAAGACAGTTGGATGGAGTTGGATAAGGGAACGTCTCTGGTAAGTAAAATAAGCTAGATAGAGAAAGACAAATACTCTATGGTATTACTTACAAGTGGAATCTTTTTTTTTTTAATGTGATAATTTAAGTTTTTTTTTAAAATTTATTTATTTATGAAAGCACTGGGTACAGTCAGAAGCACGGGAGGGTGAGAAAATTCACCAGAGCCAGAGGAGGAAACAGAACAGACAGACTGACGAAGTACACTGCTGAGGGGAGCAGCAGGCAGAGGAGAGGTCTGTGCGCCATGTGGGACCCTTGCCAGTGGCCAGGGATTGAACCGGCACTGCAGAGGCTGCGGGCAGCTTCGCAGCCCAGTGCTCAACCACTGAGCCACCCGGGAGGCCCACAAGTGGAAAATTTAAAAACAAAAACCAGTTTCATAGAAACAGAGAATGGAATGGTGGCTGCCGGGAGCTGAGAGGAGGGGAATGAGGAGACATTGATGAAAAGGCACAAACTTTCACTTACAGAAGTTATGATTTCAAAGGATCTAAAAAAAAGCAATGGTGACAACAGTTAATAATAAGGTTTTGCATATTTGAAAATTTCTGAGAGTAGATCACACACACACACACACACACACAATGAGTTAATTAACCATGTGAGGTGATGAATGTGCTGATTATCTAGATCTTAGTAATCATTCCACAATGTAACTGTACATCAAACCATGTTGTACACTTTAAATATATACAATTATGTTCATCAACTTCCTCAGTGCAGTTGGGGGGGAGGGGAAGAAGTAGAATTTAAGAAGTGTTTCTGTATCTTGCTCTCAGGAAATAATTAAATAAATCTTGACTCCAGCCAAAGAGGAAGGTTTCAGGTTTCTAAAGAGAAGAAATGTCAGGGAAAAGTCCCGAAAGAGGGTGTGTGACAGATAATAAAAGAAGCTGAGAGGATTGACTGTAACAGAGCTGAAGGGAAAAGAGGCAGAACAGTGATTATACCAAAAAGGACAATGAGTCCGGAAAATGACTTTTGAACTGACTACAAAGTGAGGCAACCTGAAACAGCAAAGTGGGGGGATAAAATGAGAAAGAAGAGCCAGACTTGAGAAAACAAAGGGCTACAGAAGGCAGAGGTACAGAAGGAGACAGGAACCTCCCCGGTGGCGCAGCGGTTGAGCTCTGGGTTGCGAAGCTGCCCACAACCTCTGCAGCGCTGGTTCGATCCCCCGCTGCTCGCGGCCACGAGAGGAGGATCCCACATGGCTCCCAGACTTCTCCTGCCGCCTGCTGCTCCCCTCAGCAGTGTGCTTCATCAGTCTGCCTGTTCTGCTCTCCGCTCTGTCTTTGGTGAATTCTCTCACCCTCCTGTGCTTCTGACTATACCCAGTGCTTGTATAAATAAAGAAATAAATCTATTAAAAAAAAAAAAAAGAGAGAGGGCCTCCCCGGTGGTGCGGCGGTTGAGCACTGGGTTGCGAAGCTGCCTGCAGCCTCTGCAGCGCCGGTTCGATCCCCGGCTGCTCCCCGGCCACCAGAGGAGGGTCCCACATGGCGCGCAGACCTCTCCTGCCGCCCGGCTCTGGTGAATTCTCTCACCCTCCCGCGCTTCTGACTGTACCCAGTGCTTGTATAAATAAATAAATAAATAAATAAATAAATAAATAAATAAAAATAAATCTTTAAAAAAAAAGAGAGAGAGAGAGAGAAGGGGACAGATTCCTAAAAATGCCATGGAGGAACAGGTGTCAAGAAGTCAAGGTAATTTGAAAAAGTGGGATGGTGTGGGATACAGATGGGATTTTTTTTTTTTTACTAGAAAGCTGTCTTCTTTGTAACATCGTGATAGAGGTTTCTATTGCCACATGTCCCTCAGAATGGAAGGAGTGTGCCAAAAAGGACTGCTTGGGACAGAAACTGAGAGGCCATCACAGTTTTGCACTCACTCATTTCCAGCCTGTCTTGGAAGCAAGTGCATCCCTCTGCTGCCTCTCTTCCCCTCTCCCCTCTCACTCACCTCCCCACAAAACCCCCTCCGTGGTCCCTGCTGTCAGGACTTGAAGGTTGAAGCTCACAAGAGAAGCATTGCCACAAAGGTACCTATTGGGTTAGCTATTTGAAGACAAAACCTCCTGTATTCTGGGGCTCTCTGAACTCAGTGTCCTAAGTATTAGTGCCTGGATGGTTTGACTGAAAAGAATTAGTCATTCTCCATCTGATTTGACTGCACAGCAGCACAAAGCTCCTGCATGCCAATAATTTCACTCAGCATTTCTGAAGGCAAAGCTTTAACCTTTTTATTTTTTAAGGTATTTGATTACTAAGGCATGCAGGCAGTGAACATTAAAAGCAGGCCTCTGTGATGCAGAGGCCATAGTAATAGGCCAAAAAAGTGGAAATCAAATGATTCAGAATTTCTGTGAGTGCTGATGAGTTTCTCTTGAATAAGAATGCATGGACACCTTTCTTTCCCTCCTTCCTATTCCTCCCCCACACCCCCCATGAAGAAGTAGGATATTTCACTGGTAAAGTCCATGAACAATGTCAAAAGTACTGGTTTCTGGTTCTTGTGCTTTTCTTTCTCTTTTTTAAAGACTTATTTATTTATGCATACAAGAGTTGGGGTATAGGCCAGAGGTGTGGGGAGGAGGGGCAGCAGTGAGAGGATTCACCAGAAACAGGCAGATCTACTGAAATACACTGCTGAGGGGAGCAGTGGGCGAGACAGGAGAGGTCTGCTGTGCCATGTGGGTAGCTCCCTGACTGGGGATCAAACTTAAGTTGCAGTGGCTGGTGATAGCTTCATAGTGCTGATACTTAACTCCTTGTACCCCCAGGGAGGCCCTGGTCCCTGTGCTTTCCAAAGCGCAAATCCCCCAATTCTAGTAAAGGTGGTAACAGTGCTTGCCCAACTAGGCATCCTGTTAGGATTTGTTAGCAAAATGGGGACAGTTTCTTATGAGGAGGCTCTCAGAGATCTAGGAACAAGTTGTTGGGACTGTGTTATGGATTCTTATTAAGCCAACACTCCATGGTCAGGGTCTTGTTTCTAATGATTTATTCATACATGTTGCAAAAGTGAAATGAATTATTAATGTTTTATTGCCAAGATCATCTGTCAGACGTAGGAATCACTAGCCAACGATCACGGCGTGAGGGGTGTTTATAGGGACCAGCAAAAGAAGCGCAGAGCTGTTCAGTCTGTGGTGACTGTGTGTTCAGCCTCAGTTCAAGCAGGAACCCAGCTGGTTCCACTTGCCCGCTGTTGGGCAGCCTCTGCGAAGCACAACCAGTCAGCTCCTTCCTGGTCCTAGTCTACATGACAGAACCTGCCATAATGATGGCACCAGCAGGAGGCCTCAGTCCCTGTCTCCACAGCACCTGCAACATTAATAGGCATAAAAGGGCACTCTGCTTGAGTACAAGGCTCTTCAGAGTCAACCTAAGGCCTACGAAGAGTAGCAAACATTCACTCAGTACCTACAATGTGCAAGCACACACTGAGTGTTTTACCTCCATTTTCTCATTGTATCTTCCAAACTTGGCCATTTCAGAGCTAATATTCTCCTTAGCTCACAAATAAGGAAACTAAGTCACAGAGAGGTTAGGTGAATTGTTCAGGGTCATACAACTTAGAAGCAGGTAAGCCAGGATTTCAACCTGGTTCCCTTCCTAATTCAAAGAACCCCATCTTGCCATCTATTTTAATGAGCATGAAGTTTGAGCAGATGGAGCTATCATTCCCAGGAGGTGTTATCCTGTCACTATCTTGCTGTAAAATCTCTAGGGCAAATCAAGAATAAGTGAAACAATGAGATCAAGGATCTACAGAAATAAATTCAGCTAGAAATCCAGGGAGATGCAAGTTATAAACCTCATAAGTTGGGTCAACATCACTCTGGCCCCATCACTTAATAGAGGCTGTTGACTAACCTTGAAGAGTGGTGTCTTAGAGCCAAAACTTAGATTTGAATCTCAGCTCTGCTACTGATCTTGGACAAGATAATGAACCTCTCATGGGCCTCAGTTTCCTATTCTGGTAATAATAACAGCACCTCCCTCATAGGGTCGCCATGAGGATTAAATGAAAGAAAGCATGTGTATGGCACACCATGAACATTAACTATTACTACTTTTCCAGAATGAGTCCATGGGTAAGGTGGTTATGTCCATCCTTATCTACAAAACAGAGCTATAAAGTTGTTACGAGGTTTAAGTGAAATAAAATCCTAAAAGCATCAAACACACATACTTCCTCCTTGGACACATTCAACTAATGCTTTTCTGATTTCTTTTTTTCCAAGACAGCACTCTTTTCCTCTGAGACTCAGTTTCCAGTATTATAAAATGCTATCCTCACCCCCTTGCCATTATTACCTCACAGGCTTGTCACAGCCACAGTCGGCTGAAGGTCAGACTGCATGTGAGGAAATGTGGCTTTTATTCCAGCTTTTGAAAAGCCACTTAAGTTCCCTAAACCATGACTTCCTCATTTATTCATTCTATTATATATAATCTCCACAAGCATGAGCCAGATGGCATATTACATGTGAGGTATGCAAAGATATAAAACATATACTCTAGTTCAAAAGAAAGGCATAGCATAAGTTTAATGATTGAGGTAGGACCAAATGGAGAGGTTGCCCAAAGGAGACAGTAATCAGATTTACCCTGGTAAGGCAAGGAAAGACTCAGAGAACACAGGTCCTTGGGTTGAGTTTTACAAGATGAAAGGAGTTTTCCAGGTAGAACATGAGAAGTATTCCAGGATATGCAAGAGCTTAGAGATACACAGGAATAACAAATGATTAATTATAGCTGACTACAGGGTGCATCTAAGGGAGTGGCAGGAAAACAGGGTAATTGTATCTTTCCCACTTATCTTGAGGGATTTCCACAAAATTAAATGAAAATTGTGTATTAAAACACTGAACAAAACACATGCATCTTGCAGCAACATGGATGGCGCTGGAAGGGATCATGCTCAGAGAAATAAGCCAAAAAGAAAAAGAAAAATACCGGATGGTCTCACTCATAGCAGGAATCTAGAAAACCTAAATAAGGGACCAGGAAAAAGAATAACTATAAGAAAGAAAAAAATCAAAATCAACAAACAACTATGAACCAGAGACACATTATGGGGTGGGGGGAAGGAGAGACTGGGGTCAAAATAAGGGGGTGGCAATAGTATGGGGAATATAAAAATAAAAAAAAATAAAACACTGAACAGGCCTCCCTGGTGGTGCAAGGGGTAAAGCACCGCACTATGAAGCAATCCGAAGCTTCTGCAGCATGAGTTTGATCCCCGGCCAGCCAGGGAGCTACCCTGGCTACCTCTCCTGTCTCGCCTGCTGCTCCCCTCAGCCGTGTATTTCAGTCAGTCTGCCTATTCTGTTCCCCACTCTGTCTTTGGTGCATCCTCTCACCCCCCACACCTCTGGCCTGTACCCCAGCTCTTGTATGCATAAATAAATAAATCTTTTAAAAAATTAAAAAAAAAAATAACACAGAACAAGACAGAGGGCCAGGGCTACATCACGGTATGTGTGGTTATTAGTAGTACTCTAGCAAGGCTACTTAATTTTCACCCATTTGCCCCTAGCAGAGAAATCCATGTTGCTTCTTCTCTTACCACCACTTTAACTCCCTCTGCAGTCCCCTGAGAGAAGGCCAGGAAGGTTTAGCATTGAACTAAATGAAAAGGTGAAGGAGAAATGAGAAGAAAAATAGTCAACTCTGTCTCAATTACTATAAACCTTTCAAAGTCTTTTAACTATAACATTCTTTTATTTTAAAAGAGTTCATATCTCATTGGCCAACAAAGAAACATTGACTCTAAGACCATGACATTTGGAAGGTTCATGAAAGAAATACGTTTTATAGCACAATCCAGCAGATGCAGAGAGAAAGGTCATGGAACAATATTTATACCTACTACATGCACTGTGCTCTAATATTTGATTGTCTTTTCTATTTTCTATTTTCAAAAAGGGTGTCAGTTATGATCTCCTAGTTGATTTCACTACTGACTAGAGGGTCTCAACCTGCAATCTGAAAAACATCACCTTAAGAGACCAGAAAGTTCATGGAAGATTTCAAATATGCTTCACAAATCCCTTCAACCTTTCTTCTCTTTTGCATTTCAGACATTGCAAAATAGAAGACAGTCTAGCCCATTTTTCAGGAAACAAAGCACCCCTGTGGGCATGTGGTATGTTGCTTGACAAACGAGAGGTTTTCATGTGGGGTTTCTATTGTGTTTGCTTGCTACAGTCCATTAAGTTTGCTGACAAGTAGGATTTCAAAACACAGGACCCTCTCTTAAGCAGGATGTTGCTGCCCTGGGGAAAGTCAGATCATACATCCCCAATATCTTTTTGAGAACATTCAATAAGCGACTTGTTTCATTAAAGGGGCCATCTCACATCTCAACCTAGAAGTGAGTGAGCATTCCACCTCAGGGCTGCTGTAATGAGAACGTGATGTCTAGATGCCTTTCCAATCACGCACAGGTTTAAAATTCACATGGCCATTATCACCACCACCTTCCTCAACAAGGGAAAATTGCAGCTTGGTACACTTTTATGTTCAATAAATATCCTAAAACTGGAAAACCGAAGCTCATCTGGTCTACTTCTCCCTTTCCAAAGAAGGGAGCTAACCTTTTCTGGCTCACAGATGAGCTCTTTCTTGTTATACCACCACATGCATCTGTGTGCACAGGGCTTTCCCTGTGGTGCAACTGTACAAGTTCTAGATGTTTCTACCAACACTTTGGATTATACTATTTCTCCTTCTTAGAGCATATTTCCCTCCAGCCCATGCAAATCCTATCTATCTTTTCAGATCATATCCTCAGCCTCTAAGAAGCTTTTTCCAAGCTCTACAGCACCTGGCTATTCTTTCTTCTTTATAATGAGATGCAGCACACTGAATTCCTGCAACCCTTTGCTTCTTAGATGCATGATAGGTCATATATATTTATTAACTGACTTCCTAATGTTTGAAAGAGGTGGTTTACAAGAAATTAATCTTAACTGTTCCTACAATATATATGTCAAGGAGTAAATAGAAAGGCTTAGTGTTTTATCATGAAGATATTTAAATCAGGTAATCATTGTAAAAATACATTAAGCCATTAACTTCTACATGCTCGGGCCAGTGACTACACGGATGGTAGTTGACACCACTATTGATTTTTATCTAATACCGTCATTTGGGAGACATTAGTCTCAGCCACTGCATTTTTACATGTATCAGATAGAGCAAATGGGGGCTTTCTCCCTCGGGAGGTACGGTGGCAGAGACTTGGCTTTGATACACAGCTACACAGAGCTCAGTGCTGGCTCCTTTCTTTTAAACACTTACATAATGTCTCACACACACACACACACACACACACACACACACACCACATTCTCTCTCTCCCTTCTGTAATGCTGGTTACTTATTGTTAGAATAAAATCACTAATTTTACAACTTGTGAAGAACTTAAAGATAGTCAATTCCCACTCAAATGAGAAAATTTAACCAAGAAAACGTGAGCCTGTGTGCTTCAGATCATCCTTGTAAAAAATAACAGTTGTGGGCCTCCCTGGTGGCGCAGTGGGTTGAGCGCAGTGCTGTGAAGCTGTCCGCGGCCTCTGCAGTGCAGGTTTGATTCCTGGCTGGCCAGGGAGATTCCCACATGGTGCAGCAGACCTCTCCTGTCTCCCTGCTTCTCCCCTCCGCAGTGTATTTCAGCCAGTCTGCCTGTTCTGTTTCCTATTCTGTGTCTGGTGAATCCTCTCACCCTCCCATGCCTCTGGCCTGTACCCCAGCTCTTCTATAAAAATAAATAAATCTAAAAAAAAAACTTATTTTTATATAAATCAGACCTTCTGCTATCAAGAAATCAGAGGCTGGAAGCCTAGAAACCTCATACCACCTCGTTCTTCAGTTTCATTTCCTCTGTCTCCGAACTTCCTATCTTCTTCCAGAGCACTCTGTCTCACCACTGAAGAACTTCCTCAGGTCCTAACACCACACTGTTTTCCTGTCATTAACCAATTCCCCCAGGCTGTTCTGTTTCAATGCCACAACTTCTCTTATCCTACTTAGAAATTTCACTTTTTCTGGTCTTTCTTTATCTAACATCACATCTGCCAAAACCACACAGCTCCTTTCTTTTAAACCCTTACATATTGTTCCAGACAAAGTTACATACAAAACAGAAGCTAATGACAAGGATTATAGCACAGTCTTGTTCTCTCCACCTAGGCTCACAGAAACCTTTTATTTTATTTCATGCTGTGCACAATACACAATGTGCTGAAAGAAGAAAGTTTTCTCTCTAATCAGGCAAGTAATTTCTCAAGACATATAGCCAAGCAAATGACTATACTTGCAAGTTCAGCAGAGAAAGCTGCAGAGTTCCTTGACACTGCCAATAAATACCAAGCTTTACTCTTTACTAAAACATCATTGTCCTCTCTAGCTCACAAAAAGAGTGAAAATGTATTAATGTGACCCCTCTGATCTTATTTTTGTCTGCATTCTTGTTAAGGTACTAAAAGAAGAATGAGTTAGTCAAAGCAGAAGATAGGACAAAGAAACCAATTAAAAAAAAAAAACCAAACAAGTCAAAATTAGTTAGAGTAGGATATTAAGCATGTGGAGTTTTTTTAAAAAATGATTTATTTATTTTTATACAAGAACTGGGGTACAGGCCAGAGGTGCGGGGGCTGAGAGGATTCACCAGAGTGGGGAACAGAACAGGCAGACAGGCCAAAGTACACTGCTGAGGGGAGCAGCGAGCGAAACAGGAGAGGTCTGCACCACCATGTGGGTAGCTCTCTGGCCAGCCAGGAATTGAACCGGCGCTTCAGATGCTGTGGATAGCTTCACAGAGCTGCGCTCAATCCCCTGCACCACAGAGAAGGTCAAAGCATGTGGACATTAAAAGCTAACCGATCAGCCTTGGCTCATTATTAACAGCTGCGTGCCTCAGACACAGTGCTTAAACTCTTCTCAGTTTCTTCATTTGGTAAATGGAGATACCAATAACACCCCTCTTACAGGGTATTAAAGAAGTTAATATCTATAAAACACTCAGGACAATGCTTGACACATATTAGACAGTACACACATACTTGCGAACTAAAGTAAATCCTCAATTTGAGATTATTTAAACAATCCTACCATGTGTCTGCTCTTCTCTAAGTATTACTAGCAGATTCAGGACCTAGAAACCTTGAGATGGTTTCTGTGCCACATATTTATACCCTGCACCCTCTAATTATTGTTTCCCAATAATTTATAATTCCTTCACATGAAGATTTGCAAAGGATATACTCCTCAGTTTCTAGCAGTCTCCATTCTGCAGCTACCTCCCTGAGAAATGGCCCCTCTAAGACAGACAGCTAGGTCTGTGAAACTACAGAAGTCCTCGTTTGCCCATAAGTCACAAATTCCACCTGGGACCCAACACTGCAACTGGGGGACCCCAGGCCATCTGTCATAGAGAAAGTCAAATGAAGGGAAGTTCTACCATGCCAAACGCATCTGCAAAACTCCTCAGAGTTGTTCAAACTCATTGTCCTAAAGCTTCTCCTCCTTTTCTTCCAGTGAGGCTCTCAGCTACACCACATTTGCTCTTCTCAAGGTCACCAAAGAACTACTTTGTTAAATCCAGTAAGACCTTGTGTGACTCTATCTCTGCGGAGGATTAACATTATTGGTACTCCTTTCCCTGAGGCTTCCCTCCCTTGACCTCTAGGCCACCATATTCTCCCAATTTTCTGGCTACTCCTGTGGGGGCTCATTTGCTGGTTGTTCCTTCCCTTCCCACACTCCTTCCATTGTGCCCTAAGGCTCCTTCCTTGGTCTTCTTCTCTATTAGAGTCACCTCCATGGTAGATTTATTTTATTTTGGGGGGTTATTTTATTTTTTTAAGATTTATTTATTTATGCATACAAGCACTGTGGTATAGACCAGAGGTGTGGAGGGTGAGAGGATTCACCAGAGACAGAGTGGGGAGCAGAACAGGAGGATCTACTGAAATACACTGCTGAGGGGAGCAGCAGGCGCGAGTCAGGAGAGGTCTGCTGCACCATGTGGGTCACCTCCCAGGCTGAGGATTGAACTCGTGTTGCAGTGGCTGCCGATAGCTTCATAGTGCTGTGTCTTAACCCCTTGCACCACCAGGGAGGCCCCCAGTTTGGAGTTTAAAATATCATTTCTTCTCCCAATGATTCTCAAAAATTCTCCAACTTGGACCTAAATCCTGAACTCCTAATTCATACATCTAGTTGCTGGTTTCAATAACCACTCAGATGTCTAGTGGGATCCTAAACTTAGCTTTCCAAAAGCAAACTCCTCACCTTTCTCCCAAACCTCATCCTTTTCAATCTTCCTCATCTTCATGATGACACTCCCCACCATCCCCACCAACTCTCATCTTCCTTCACCCCTAACCAGTCAGATTCCTCCTTCAAAGAATATCCAGCGTCCCACCACACAGTATCACCTCCCAGCTGCCCTGACGTCCAAGTTACTGTCATCTCTCCTGAGTACTTAAATACCCTCTTAACCAATTTTCTTGCGTTTGTCTTTGCTTTACTACAGGAATTTCCTAAAACAGCAGCCAGAGACATACCACTAAAGGTAAGTCAGATTATATTGTTCTTTTGTTAAAAACCTTCCAATATTCATCTCACACAGAAAAGCCAAAGCCGGGCCTTCCTGGTGGCACAGCGGGTTGGGTGCCATGCTGTGAAGCTGTCTGCAGCCTCTGAAGTACGGGTTTGATTCCCGGCCGGCCAGAGAGAAACCCACATGGCTTGGCAGACCTCTCCTGTCTCGCCCGCTGCTCCCCTTAGCAGTGTCTTTGGTCTGTCTGCCTGTTCTGCTCCCTGCTCTGTCTCTGGTGAATTGTCTCACCCTCCCGCACCTCTGGTCTCTGTACCCCAGTTCTTGTATAAATAAATCAATCTTAAAAAAAAAAAAAAGCCAAAGCCCTATGGTAGCTATATGACCTTATATAAGCTGCCCCCTGCCCCCATCCTACATCTCTCCTCCTCCTCTTCCCTTGCTCTCTCCATTCTGTCACAACTGGTCTCCTTGCTGTTCAGGGCTCCTATGCTTACTGAATCTTCTGCCTGGAGCTTCCTTCCCCAGTTACCCACATAATTCTTCTTCATACAGCACCACCTTCACATTTTTTCTAAAAAGGCACCTGGGTGAACTACATCTGTTTAGCACTCCTAACCTTCTGTTCCTGCTTAATTTTTCTCCATGAGACTTAATATCATCCCACTTTCTAAACTTTCACCATAAGGTCTATGATAAAATTGTATTTATCTCCATTAGAATACTTATTTTGTCGGGCCTCCCCTGGTGGCGCAGCGGTTGAGTGCTGGGCTGTGAAGCTGCCCGCAGCCTCTGCAGCGCCGGTTCGATCCCCGGCCACCGGTGAGGGTCCCACATGGCGCGTAGACTTCTCCTGCCAGGTCCACTGCTCCCCTCAGCAGTGTATTTCATCAGTCTGCCTGTTTTGCTCCCCGCTCTGGCTCTGGTGAATTCTCTCACCCTACCGTGCTTCTGACTGTACCCAGTGCTTGTATAAATAAATAAATAGATCTTTTAAAAAAAAAATACTTATTTTGTCTTCCCCTATTGAGTGTCAGGTCCAGACACATAGGAATGCACTCATGTTCATTCTATTTCACTGCATTCTTAAGTACCTGTAAGTGCCTTGTATACAGTAGGTGCTAGTAAGTACTCAATAAACGTTTGCTGAATGAATGGAAATAATGGCTCCTGTGGTTCCTCTTACCTAATACAGTCATCACCGTCTTCATTAGCTTCATGGGTGTCTTCCGGCGACTGATGGACCCACTCGTATGTGGGGACAAGACATTGGTTTTTCTCTTGACATACATGTAGATCCGCAGGTACACCACAACCATGATGAAGAAGGTCATCAGGTTGGACACAGTCCAGAAAATGAGGTAACTCCTGCTGTAAATGGGAGCCAAGGAAGAGCAGGAAGAGATGTCACAGAGGCAATTCCAGCCCAGTGTGGGGACTGCCCCCATAAAGATGGCAATGGCCCAGATGGACAAAATGAGCAGAGTCACCCTCTTTTTGGTCAAGTTGCTGTGGACCCGCATCCTCATGATTGACATATGTCTCTCCACGGCAATAACTAGCAGATTGGTCAGGGAGGCAGTCAAGCTAGTGTCCAGAAGCCCCTGGCGGAGAAACCAGCGGTTGACAGTCAAAGTTTTTGAAACTGGGCCAGTGTTAAACATCAGGAAGACATAGGCAATTCCAGCAAAGAAATCTGCAGCAGCCAGGTTAGCCAACAGGTAGTAGAAGGGGAAATGGAACTTTCTGTTTTTGATCACTGCTGCGATGACCAGAGAATTAGAAAAAAAAATAAACAGGCAGAAAAACGTTCCAAAACACAAAACAATCACCAGCTTCGTTCCTGTCCACTCGTCGGCAGTGTCAGTGTTACTCCTGTTATAAAAAAAGTCCATGCGCTTATCATAGTGACACTCATTCATTGTGGAGAAGAACTGAACATCCTAGAAAGAAATGTAAAGAAGAAACAAACATCACAGTTTGCAAGATCATTCACTAAAACACCAATTGCCACTGCTAAGCCCCTTTTTCTGTCCAACTGTTGTTATTCCTGAAGGTCTTCTATAACTCTTCCTTCTCCAGGACACTCACCTCTGACCTCCCATCACAGCGTTTATTTCACATGAACAACTATTGTCTGTGCCCCACACTAAGAACAGAGCTGAATTACTCTTCACACAACAAAATGCTTCCCCAAGGGGTCAATTTTCTACCACTTCTGATTCCACTCCTGACTCTCCTTTTGCCATCTTTCGGTTTCAAGCTACAACAGCAACACTCACTTGTTTAGTGTATGGTTCAGTGTTGGAGACTTTGGTCTCAACACCCCTTCTTTATCTCTTTGTTCACATTTTCCTTGGAGTCTCCTAAAACAAACTGTACCAAAGTGAATTTGTTTACTGAATTTTCTGACCCAATCACTTCAAATCAATGTCTTCCCATTACACAGCAGGTGGTAGAAGGGCAGGCCTCTGGGCGACAGACAGATTTGGAGTTTGCACAGACATCCAACCTCAGGCGATATCAGAACATACCTGTCAATTGAGGGCAAGTTCTAGGAACACATGTCTGAAAATATACCCCTAAGTGGAGTATCAGGACAAGTCATCTTGGATCCAAGAGTAAGGGAGTGTCGCCAATGAGGGGCTGGGCTGGGACTCTTAGGTGGGACCTACCTGTTCTCAGTGGGATGATGAGGTGTCCTTACTCACAGTGGTCAGGTCACAGACATAAAGGTCTAATCAAAGGAGACTGGGACTAACAGCCAGGAAATCTAGCTTCTGGGGAGAATGCCCACGGGCTCCCTCACAAGGGATGAGGTTGCACTTAATTCTCTGGAGAACTAGAGATCCAGTAGGCCTAGACACTCAGCAGTCCATTGGTGGGAATGACATGACAATGAACTTCACTTACGAACTACGTGTTCCTAGATTAGTTACTTAATATTTCTACTTCATTATGACTATTTTTAATTGCTCATATTTGAGTGATTACTTTGTGCCAGGTGCTTGACTATAGAGAATCTCATTGAACCTCCCAACAGTGAGGTAGATATTATGATTCCGTGCATTTCAGTTCCAGGCAACTGAAGACCCTTCCCTGAGGTCACATAAGAAGTAGGGGAAGACCCTGGATCCTAATCAGGACTCTCATGGTGACCTACAACTCTACACTCTCTCTATAGAGACAAACAAAACACCAGGCAGAGCCAAACGCTATAGTCATACTTCAAAACCAAATTACCAAAATAGAATGATCCAATCAAATGACCTTCTACGATTGTCTTCTGACACACACACACACACACACACACTCTCTCTCTCTCTCTCTCTCTCTCTCTCTCACACACACACACACTCTTTTAAAATGGGGGCATTCTAAATAGCTTTGGAGTTCTGTTTTGCTTTGTTTTAATAATCCTGAGACATGTGGGAAGGCATAGTTCTGAAAATATATTTTCAAATGTTATGGGAAGTAAACCTCAATAAGGTCAATTTCAAGACGAATTTAACATTGCTAAATTAATTCTGCCCAATCTCAAGCTGGTTTTTTCTCGCTCTCTCTTTTTTTCTTTTATTTTTAATACAAAAGGTTTAGGGGTTTGAATAGTTCTGACCCAGAAACAAAAGATGTTAAACTTTGGAGCTATTACCGCAACTTCAAACTTCAGTAATTTAAGACTTCATAAAATGATGGTTTAGAAAGTCTATATGTGGAATCCAAATGAAAACTTCACGAGCAAAGCTTTCATTTAGATTCTCCCAAACTTGAATCTCTGAAAAAATGTCCAGCCGGCCCATAATATGGAAACAATTATGAAAATTAAGACATTTGAAAACCACTCAAGCAGCTTTTATTTCTAGCTACGTCTTGCCAAACAAGTTGCTGCTGGTCTTTCGGCCAACTTTCAGTAACACTCTCCTCTCTCACCTAGGAAGATTCGAGATGCATCCAAAACAACATCGATTGGTGCTGGCTTATTTTTTCTTCCTGTGGCCCACAAATGCAGAATGACCTTCTCCTTTCTGGAAACCCTGGACAGAGGAGAGCTGCAGGTCCAGTTAGCTGGTACTCTAATGGCTGTTAAAGAGACCTCACCTGCATAAGCAATCATGTTTGCTCACTGAGTTCTTATTAATAATTCACGTTAATGGCAAAATTGGGGCAGTATGGGAGATTTCTATCCACCTATGATCCCTGAGGTTCATCTCAGCCATTAGTTTCAAGACCTTAGTATTTGCTGGGCCCTCTTCCCAGAAACCTCTTCCCACAGACACCCACAGGGCTCATCTGTCTACTTCATTCCACTCAAATGTCATTTCATCAAGGTCCCCTCCCTACCACTCTCTAAGTGACCACTTCTCCATTCCCTGCTGCACTTCTGCCTGCTTATTTTTTCCTTACATGTTTCTCACTGTGATCTGCCTGGGGTTAAGGTCTATACTCCCATGCACTCAGAAAGGCAGGGGCTTTCTATTGTTAAGGCCTATCATCCTGCCCCCCACCAACTGCCTGAAACAAGCCCCAAAATGTAAGGGGCTCTCAGTAAATACTTGTTAAATGTGGAATGGAGCAAAGCACCACTGTGTACACAAGCCTGCATGCCCCCTAACCTTTTACCCAAAATGAGCGTTATTACATTCTTCTTCTGCACACTCTTTAATTTGGGTTTTGCAACTCTTTCATTTCCCTCTGTCGACCTGGCCCCCAACCCTGCTTCCTGAGAGGTGTGAGGAGTGGAATTTCCAGCCTTAAAAGGGAATTTTATGGGGAGAGGAGAAAGCAAACCCCTGAGAGGAGAAAGCAAAAATTGTACAAAAATAATCAATGATGTAAAGTATATGTAAATAAATTAAATTAATTTTTTTTAAAAAAGGTGCTTTACTGCAGCAGACAAGTTAGGGTGGCCTGGAGGGCCTCCCCACAATAGAGGCCTGTCTCCAGTCGGCATGGAGAGCAGACACTACGACTCCTCTTTGAACATAACTTCAAAGGAGGGCCTACTGGACAATGCTAGGACAATGTGGGCAACAAAATAAATGTTGAACAAAACCCAAAATATAAAATGAACACCCAGGAGTATATACTATGTAAATGATTGACTGAGTAAAATAATAAATGAGGAAGAAGAGACAAATCTCCAATGTAGAAGAATTCCAAACAAATGAAGCAAATAATTCCACCCCTCCAGAGGACAACAGAATTCTCCACTACCACAGTGTGCGCTGAACATAGTCACTGCCTCCTCCATAGGATAGGAATGAAACAGAGAAGAAAGAGCCCCTTTTTTTTTGTGAGGAGAAACTTCACAAACATACCTCAGCCAGGTTTGCAAGGCCACGTCACAGTGGCAGATCCTAATGCTAGTCTGTAATCTTGATGTGACGTATTTAGATGGGTCTCTGATCTTCCTCCCAAAAACCCCAGTGAAATCATCAGGAAAACCCAGGCAAATCCCAACTGGGGTTCCATCCTATAAAATTGCTGGCCAGAACTCCTCAAAATCATCAAGAACATCAAAAACAAGGACAATATGAAAAACCATCACAGTTAAGAGGAAGCTAAGGGGACATTGCATCTAAATATAATGTCAATTCTTGGGGGCCTCCCCTGGTGGCGCGGCGGTTGAGCGCTGGGCTGCGGGGCTTCCCGTAGCCTCTGCAGCACCGGTTCGATCCCCGGCTACCAGCGAGGGTCCCACATGGCGCGCAGACCTCTCCTGCCGTGTCCCTCTGCCTGTTCTGTTCCCTGCTCTGGCTCTGGTGAATTCTCTCACTCTCCCGCGCTTCTGACTGTACCCACTGCATGTATAAATAAATAAATAAATCTTTTTTAAAAGTTTAAAAAAAAAACCAAAAAAACGAGCTTTTAAATATAATGTCAATTCCACATGGGATCCTGGGACAGAAAAAAGGACATTAAGTAAGAAGTAAGGAAATCTGAATAAACAGAGATTTCAGCTAATAACAGTAAATCCCTATCAGTTCATTAATTGTAACAAATGTACTAAGTTAATGTAAGATGTTAGTAGTAACCCCCCCCACCCCACTACTCAATAGGAGTAGGGGAGGGTTACTATGGGAACTTTCTATGTTCAGTTTTCCTGTAAATATAAAACAGGTCTATAAGTAAATATTTTAAATAAATATTAAAGAGGGGAAAAATGTTATTTACTATAATAACTTCAAAATAAATAAGGCTCTCATGTTTCATAAGTGGTTACTTCATTCGTTATGATAAAATACACAGAGGAGTAACAATTTGTTTGAGATTCAATTTGAACGGCTATTGTCTGTAATAGAGTATATTACTCTATATTCTCTGATATTCTTGGATAAATCTTGTTGAGTGAACCTTTCATTTCCTTTGGAGGTGCCTGTTACCCGTAGGGCTGTTACAATCTGCTACCTTGTCTTAATACACTGGACCACTTCTCTTTTTTTTTTTTTTAAAGTTTTTATTCATTTATTTATACAAGCACTGGGTACAGTCAGAAGCGCGGGAGGGTGAGAGAATTCACCAGAGCCAGAGTAGGGAGCAGAGCAGGTAGACTGACAAAATACACTGCTGAGGGGAGCAGTGGACGCAGCAGGAGGGGTCTGTCACGCCATGTGGGCCCCTCGCTGGCAGCCGGGGATCGAACCGGTGCTGCAGAGGCTGTGGGCAGCTTTGCAGCCCAGAGCTCAACCGCTGCGCCACCAGGGGAGGCCCTGGACCACTTCTCTTAAGAAAGCTGAACTCAACTTCTGTTTCTTAAGAAGGACAGATCAACTCAGGTACATGCAATTGTTCTGATTCAGAGTCTCTATTCTCCACATAGCAATAAGGTCTCTGATACACCTAGGCCCTCGAAAGGTCTCAAAGCAGGGGTCATACAGAGGAGGGGCAGGCACACAATGGGGGCACTTGAGAAACAGAGAAACTTCCGTGCCTCAAGTCATCT